GCTTGTGTTCAGAAGATTAAAGACCACTGGGATGACAGAAACTGTAGAGACGTTGCAACTTCATTAGTAGGTTACACACAGCTGACATACACTGAGTATACAAAACATTATGAACACCTTGAGTTGCACCCCCCATTTTGCCCTCAGAACAAGCCTCAATTCATCGGGGCATGGACTCTACAAAGTTTTCAAAGGGTTCCACAGGGATGCTGGCCCATGTTGACTCCAATGCTTCCCACATTTGTGTCAATTTTTGCCAGCCTGAGATCTGTATGGGATAATGCTTCTTTGGTGGCTTGATTACAAGCTGGATAAGACTACAAGCTACAGGACCACTGTATGTAGTGGAGGATTGATTTATCTGTTATCATAACACAGAGAAAGCACACAAATTATAATTTCAGCCACAACATGCATCTCTGGAACAAGGTGACACAGGACATACCAAACAGAGAAGGGAGGAGGAGAAAAACAGATAGATATCACGCACGCGCACACACACACACACACACACACACAGACGAAGCAGACAGGCTGACCCCTTGGGACAAATTGCATAAGAGGATGGTTTCCATGACAACTGTCTGTAGCATAGGCCACAACAGATTTGCTCATTTGCTCATTTGGTGGATGTCACTTGCTCCAATTTCCGTTACCTATAGATACTGTGGCAATGGCAACAGCTTGTGCCTCTGCTGGATGTCTGAAGCGGACACTTGTAGTGCACCTCCTACTCAGTTCTCACTTAGCAGGGGTAGCGGCCTGCTCTGCTCTGGCATGGTGCAGTCTGCTAATGATGATACTCATGCCTGGCCTGCAATACCATGGCCATGCAGAGTGATGTGTGGAGAACATAGAGCTGATGATGAGAAGACCTGGGGCCTTAAAGCCAGACTCAGTAAGTCCCAAATTAAATGTCAGTTTTTTTTCTGGTTTAATATATCTCGAAGTGTATAGATGAAAGATTAATTTGCTATTTGCATCACTTCAAAGTGATACATATTAAGGTTTTATTCATTATTGTTTACAAACTGCAGGTAAGGTTTCTCCAGGTAATTATGACGCATAGGCCTATTGATAATTTATTTCGCGCACGTTCTATCTGTCCCTCTGATACATCCACGACTACAGCAACACATCAACAATACATATCTAGCTATATCCCTCTCAATTCAAACGAGACACATAAATGAGAGTTGAGTGATACAGAATAAATGTGTGATTCAGCTGACAAATAAATGTGGTAACGGTTAATAATATTGGCTGCTGGCTGTCAGTCCGTCTGTGCATCTGCTTGTCTGTGCAACAGCTGACGATAGGCAAGAGCACAGATTTGAAAACACTGGTGGGTCTGTCGTTACAAAATTGCTTTGATGTTGCTAGCTTGAGCTTCTGAATGAAAACTGGAATTGTGGGCGATTTTCATTCATCAAGGGATTGAGAATATTTTACTAGTGCAACACTTGCTAGTTGGACCATATTCCAGACTTCTCAGCACGACCAGTGCCAGCATGCTGGACACTATGGATAATAATAGCTAGCAAATATAGCTGGCTCGCAAACAGATAGATCCACATACGCATTGCTTGCAAATCGACATAGCCTACCGGTGGGTGATTAGCCTACAGCTAAACAAACCTTCATGCACTTGCAAACTTTGCTGGAGTTGCTAGCTGGCTAATTGTTTTCCTCTAGGATGTGGAGTTTACTATTGCAACCTTTTGATGGCAAATTTATTCAACCCTATAGTTGCTGAGGGTTGATTTTTCCAGGCAATTACATCTTACTTCTGTAATGTTCATAGCTGACTCCACTTGTAAATCATAATTTGTATACAGTAGAGTAACCTACACTGAACAAAAATATCAACGCAACATGTATAGTGTTGGTCCCATGTTTCATGAGCTGAAATAATAAATCCCCACAAAAATTCATACGCACAACAAGCTTATTTCTCTCAAATGTTGTGCATAAATTTGTTTACATCCCTGTTAGTGAGCATTTCTCCTTTGCCAAGATAATCCATCCACCTGACAGGTGTGGCATATCAAGAAGCTGATTAAACAGCATGATCATTACATAGGTGCACCTTGTGCTTTGGACAGTAAAAGGTCACTCTAAAATGGGCAGTTTTGTCACACAATGCCACAGATGTCTCAAGATTTGAGAGAGCATGCAATTGGCATGCTGACTGCAGGAATGTCCACCAGAGCTGTTGCCAGACAATTTAATGTTAATTTCTCTATCACAAGCCGCCTCCAACGTTGTTTTAGAGAATTTGGCAGTACCTCTTACCGGCCTCACAACTGCAGATGTATGGCGTTGTGTGGGCGAGCAGTTTGCTGATGTCAACATTGTAAACAGAGTGCCCCATGATGGCAGTGGGGTTATGGTATGGGCAGGCATAAGCTACGGACAAAGAACACAATTGCATTTTATCAATGGAAATTTGAATGCACAGTGATACAGTGACGAAATCCTAAGGACCATTGTCGTGCCATTTATCCGTCACCATCACCTCATGTTTCAGCATGATAATGCATGGCCCCATGTCGCAAGGATCTGTAGACAATTCCTGGAAGCTGAAAATGTCCCAGTTCTTCCATGGCCTGCATACTCACCAGACATGACACCTATTGAGCATGTTTGGGATGTTCTGGATCGACGTGTCCGACAGTGTGTTCCCGTTCCCGCCAATATCCAGCAGCTTCGCACAGCCATTGAAGAGGAGTGGGACAACATTCCACAGGCAACAATCAACAGCCTGATCAACTCTACGCAAAGGAGATGTGTCGCGCTGCAGGAGGCAAATGGTGGTCACACCAGATACTGACTGGTTTTCTGATCCATGCCCCTACCATTTTTTTTAAAGGTATCTGTGACCAACAGATGTATATCTGTATTCCCATTCATGTGAAATCCATAGATGAATGAATTCATTTCAATTGACTGATTTCTTTATATGAACTGTAACTCAGTAAAGTCTAGAAAATTGTTGCATGTTGCGTTTATATTTTTGCTCAGTATACATGCTTGATGTAGGCTACAAGCAAACGAGAACACCATCTGTCTGGTACTGACTGTTGGAAGGGTGGCTGTCCTAGCGGCCGCTTGAGAACTCTCTGATAGAGCACGTTATGACGTCTTGCCTAGGTTAGTTAACATTATGTCTTGCCTGGGTTTGTTTTGTCGCCCCGACAGTTTGATATTTTACAATCACAAATTAAGTAAATGAGACTTACTGAGTCTGGCTTTAAAGCATTGTACTATAATCTCATAATCATTCAACACTGATGAAATACCTTTCAGGAGGAGCTTGGTGAGTGTAAAGCTTGGAAGTGCAACTCATCAAAAATATTCTTGAAAACACTTTGAAGTTTGTGGAAATGTGAAACTAATGTAGGAGAACACATTAGATCTGGTAAAAGATAATACAAACAAAAAAACATGTGTTTTCTATTATTTTTTTGGTTCCATCATCTTTGAAATGCAAGAGAAGGGCCACAATTTAATATTGCAGTTTAGGCGCAATTTAGATTTTGGCCACTAGATGGGAGCAGTGTGTGTGCAAAGTTTCAGATTGATCCAGTGAAGCATTGCAATACAGGACTATTTTGTCTCAAGTCTGCCCAAATGTGCCAAATTGGTGAATTGCTACATTTTCAAGTACATAAATATAGAGAACATACAAAAATGATATGGTAATACAAAATGTAAGTTTACACACTCCCAGGAATGTCATACATGATAGATAATTAGCTTATACACTAACTTTCACACATCTAGATGGCCGGGCGGGGTAGGTGTTGAGCCAGAGACAGCAAGGGTTCAAACTGTAGAACCCAGTTCCTACATTTGAATATAAAAATTGATTTTATTAAACAAAACTATGCTACATTTTATCTCTGGGACCCTTAGGATTGTAAGTACATTATTTACCTTCAGAGGTAAATGTATCAAACCAGTTGCCGTGATAAGTTTTTTATTGTTGTGCACTCTCCTCAAACAATAGCATGGTATTTTGTCACTGTAATAGCTACTGTAAATTGGAGAGTGCAGTTAGATTAACAAGAATTTAAGCTTTCTGCCCATATAAGACATGTCTATGTCCTGGAAAATTTGCTGTTACTTACAACAGTCATGCTAATCACATTAGCGCACGTTAGCTCAACCGTCCTGTATACGGGACACCGATCCCGTAGAGGTTAAAATAGAGAACCTACACTAGTCTGTCACAACACAGACAGTACTGTGTATGGACATGCTCTGGTGCTATGTGCTCCAAGCAGAGAAATGTAACACTCCTCACAGAGAGGAAAGAGTAATACAAGTCACTCACAGTCACAGACAGACAGAAACTCACCAATGAGACTGTCCATGTTTGAAGACTGGTCTTTCTCTTGACAGTTGTTTTCTGACACTATAATCTGGACATGTTTATTGGACAGGTCTGATCATAACACTGCAAGTATGATTTGTCCAGATGACATGGGAAACCACAGGGGGTAAAGAGAGAAAAACAGTGGTGTCTTTTTAACAAATTGTTTACTTTATCGCTAATTCTAAATTCAGACCTGTCTGAAACCCATCCTTGAGAGAGTAATATTCTGTAATGAGTGCTCTGTCTCTGTGTATCTTTAAGGAGCACATTTAACTAGATGGGGTGGGGGCTTTGGCTAAACTATTTCATGTGATCATTAAGGAGATGTGGTTTTATTGCAGCAGGGTGGGAGGGAGAGAGGAGGGATGAAGTAGCTGTCTGAGATATGAAGCGTATGCCTCCAGGGACTTACAGCTCCACTGGGCCTCCCTCCCTCCCTCAGCACAGAGACCTGCATACTGAATACTGCCACCCTGCCTGCTGGAGGCCAACCAGCAATGCCAAGCAGGGAAAGAGAAGTTTGTTTTATTATGAGATTACGTATGCTGCTTTTGTTTTTTACAATCCTCTATTTTCATGCAGACCATATGAAAAACATCTGCCTACATCGAAAATAACTTCAGTCCTTCTGTGCAGAGATACACAACCACAACAATGTGCCAGAGGTTAAACTCTCCAACCTCTCCTGTCTTTTGGATGTAATAAGTCTAGCCAGCTTTACTACTATGGTATTCCACTTTGTCTATCAACTGTACCTAATAAAGTTCTACAGGTGCAATATCAGTGTAACTACAATACGTGAGGGATACATTTCTCAACGGTGCAGCACTTACCAGACCATCACAGTTGCTGATAGCGACGGATGTGTCCCTGACGTTGGTGACCTCTCCTACATAAAAGCAGTCGCTGTCCCGTAGAGGCTCGTAGCGGGTCTGGTTGCCCTCCTCGTGCCACTCCACTTTAGCTCCGGGGGCCACCAGCCTGGAGTTGAAGTGCAGGCGCAGGTGGAGCTCCTGGCCAAATACAGTGACATTGTAGAAGAGTGTCTCCCTGTGCCTGGCTGTACCCTCTCCCTCCTCCAGGTCTCCATGGCTGGGGTCTGAGGCAGCTGCAGCCTCTCTTCTCCAGCGTCTGTGGGCCTGCTGGTGCTGGCTGTCCAGTTGAGGTGCAGAGACAGCACCTGAGAGGAACCGGCCCTCTGCGTCAGTGTTCACAGGCTTAGCCACGCCATACTCCCTCAGGACATGCTGCAGAGACTCTGTATGCACGGGGAGAGACAGTCACACACTGATCAATACACACATAATCATGCACAGAAGTAACAGATGCAAACAGAGTGCCACACACACGCACGCACACATGCACAAGCACACACACACGCTTTAGTATCTATAGCACAGTGGAGGCTGGTGGGAGGAGCTATAGGAGGACAGGCTCATTGTAATGGCTGAAATGGAATGGAGTCAAACATGTGGTTTCCATATGTTTGATGTTTTCCTTTGATAAGTTCCATTAATTCCATTCCAGCCATTTCAATGAGCTCATCCTATAGCTCCTCCCACCAGCATCCACTGCTATAGCATGGGTAAAAACATATGATGGGTCTAACTTTATAAACACATATACAATGTGAATCTATAGCTGACACATTTTACAACCACAACTGACTTTGGCATATTCCCTACCTTATCAATAAACCACAGGCAATAATAAGCCTAGACTAATAGGCCTATCAAAAAAAGAACACGTCGGTGATGTGCCCTTGAGCAAGGCACTTAACCCTAATTGCTCCTGTAAGTCGCTCTGGATAAGAGCGTCTGCTAAATGACTAAAATGTAAATGTATGCCCCAATGTTCACGTCCGTTCCCGCAGATGAACACGCTCGACTACACTTCTTTGTGAACCATAACAAACACGTCCAAGTTCAGAGCAGATACAGCAATTTATATGCATGACTCCATCCATTGTCAACTTGCGAGTTGCGACTTCAGTTTTGGTAGGAAGCTGTGACCCAGCACGCAGACAAGCACGTCAAGACGGGGTGATGATTAAAGCTGTCAACTAGGAAGAATAACTAAGGTCAATATTCATGAAATCAGGTAATTACAAATGTCAAATTAAATTGAATGTCAAATTAAAGTTTAATTTCATTCCAACCATTTATTTTACTAGTCAAATGGAATGGCTTATTTGGAGACGGTCGTTGTTAGTTTAATTTAAGCTATAACTGCTGTAAAAACTTCAACAATATTTGTGCTAATTCACATGACTATATATATATAACCAATTGCAATCAATAGTGCATGATCAATGTTCCATTGGAATGTTCTTCAGATGCTGAACTTGTGCGCACGTAAATTATGTTTGAATGAAAAACAAATGTGGAAAAAGTTGGTGTCATGCAAAAGAAAGGGAAACGTACAGACACACTGCATAAACACACTACCATTCGTACTCAACGATATTTCTGTTTATGCAAAATGTAATTGAACTTGTATGGGCTACGGAATAACCTGTGTGAATTTGACATGCTTCAAGATCGATTCGTGATCAGATCATTTTCGCAAGGGTGGTAGCCTACCTAGGTTATAGCCTAAGCTTTACACAATTGTATAAAATGTATAAAATCATAAATCACACATACCTATGCCATTGGAGATATAAAGTCCATTCGCGAGAATTAAATGCAGTAAAATAATAAAGAATGCAAATCCAGGCGTAACATCCATTGCTGGTCTGAAGAAAAAGACCGCACATCAGAGAGGCAGACTTTGAAATTCTAGATAATGCGATCTACCAGCCCCGAACCCCCTCCGGAACAGATCGCAAAGTTCTCTCTCTCTCTCTCCCTCTCTCTTTCTCTCTCTCTCTCTCTCTCTCTCTCTCTCTCTCTCTCTCTCTCTCTCTCTCTCACACACACACACACACACACACACACACAAACCCACATACACACACAAAACGTAATAAAGTCATTTGCAGAAATTTAGCCAACTTGGTCTTTGACAGTGTTCACAGAGTGACAGCCGAATAATAGAAATGCCCAGTTGCATATTCTTATGGCTACCATGGCTAGAAGAAGATATCTCAGTGACTTTGAAAGAGGGATCTCAATGGAGCATAGGGGGTTTAAAGGGTATGTGTGTGTGTATGCGTGTGCGTGTGTGCGTGTATGTATTTACAGTATGTATGTATGTATGTATGTATGTATGTATGTATGTATGTATGTATGTATGTATGTATGTATGTATGTATGTGTATGTATGTATGTACAGTATGTATGTGTGTGTGTGTGTTTCTCATTCACCAGATCTCAACCCAATTGAAACCTTATGGGAAATTCTGGAGCGGCGCCTGAGACAGCATTCATCAACAAATCAACAAATTATGGAATTTCTCATGGAAGAATTGTGTCTCACCCCTCCAATAGAGTTCCAGACACTTGTAGAATCCATGCTAGGCCATTTAAGCTGATCTGGCGGCTCAACACCCTGTTAAGACACTTTATGTTTAGTGTTTCCTTTATTTTGGCAGCATAGAAGGGTTGACTGACAACGTCATGAAAATGATGCTCGCGCATCGATGAGGCAGAAGGCCGTGTGGTGTTACGATTCTGAACGGTCAGATAGCTAGCAACAATGACAAGAATCTGCCATGTGGGGAATCTTAGGTGGCTAATTTTAGCTTGTTGTATCTTGTTATTGATACCATGTCTTGTTTTGAGATGTTTTGACTGATGTAATGTCTATGTTAATATGGCAAAAATTCGCTAGCTAGCTAAGCAACAACTGTAACGATGTATTTGAGAGACAACAAGTGCTCATTGTGCAAAAGTATTTATGTTTTTGATAAAAATTTGGAGACTAAATATAGTTTACATGTTGTCAAGGATCTAAGCCAGCGCAGGCAGGCTCTAGCACATTTTGCCATGACTTACATTATGCCATGATATCTGAGTGAGAGTGACTAACAAAATCAAATGGGGGCCTCCTGGAGGTCAGGGCCCCTGGGCACGTGCCCTGTGTGACCGGTTGGTATTCGGCCATGATTACTACAAGTTTAGATAGCTGGCTAGACTAATTTACCAATCTAAAAATTGTTAGCTGACATAGCTAATTGAGTGACTGTCAGTGACTTACAGACAGTGGTGTAAAGTACAAATACTTTAAAGTACTACTTAATACTATTTATATTTTTATATTTTTGACAACTTTTACTTTCACTTCACTACACTCCTAAAGAAAATAATGTACTTTTTACTCCATACATTTTACCTGACACCCAAAAGTACATTTTGAATGCTTAGCAGGACAGGAAAATGGTCCAATTCATGCACTTATCAAGACAACACATGGTCATCCCTTCTGCCTCTGATCTGGCGGACTCACTAAACACAAATGCATCTCTTGTAAATGATGTCAGAGTGTTGGAGTGTGCCCCTGGCTATCCATAAATGTATTTTACTAGAAAATGGTGCCACCTGCTTTGCTTAAGGAATTTGAAATGATTTATACTTTTACTTTTGATACTTAAGTATATTTTAGCAATTACATTTACTTTTGATACTTAAGTATATTTAGAACCAAATACTTTTAGACTTTTACTCAAGTAGTATTTTACTGGGTGACTTTTACTTTTACTTAAATAACTTTCTATTAAGGTAGATATACATTTACTCAAGTATGACAATTGGGTACTTTTTCCACCACTGTTTACATAACAAGAAAAAAATTGCTGATGCACAAGCAAATGTCGAACTTGAACCTTGTGCATTCTACTATTCTATCTCTCAACAGTAAGTTGAGACCCCGACTGAGTCCCCCCCCCCCCCCCAAAAAAAAATGTCAGAAAGATTTTTTGACAGGGGGTGCAGTCGGGTAGACTGTTTTCCGGTTTCAGCCAGCTGGATTTAGGACTACACGGACGCCAAAGAGCGCGCTCATAGGCTGTGTGAAGGCAAAGCTTCTGAAAGGCTGGCGTATAGGACCAGCACGGGAGAGATGATCATAGGCAGCTGCTGTCTGTGTTGCGCTTTTTCTCAGAGTTGTAAAAGCAAGCAGAGCAGAAACTGGCTACTCTTTAGTTTACTGATCTAGCTGACAAGGTAACTGCTGTTTGACAGAAAAAAAGTATTTATTCCCAGTGCTGAGCTAGTAGTGTAACTGACATGTTACGTAAGCCAGTTTTTCTTCCCCTCTCGACTGACGTGAATGAACTACTAGCAGCTAGTTAGTGAGCTAGTAGCTACCACAGCCAGTTCTGCTCAAGCTAGCCTCTAGTTATCTGTCAGGTAGCAGCATCTAACAGCTGTTGTGTATATGGAAATTTTTTGTAGCCTTTGTTTTGTCCCGTTTCATCCAAAGTAAATTTGATGATGTACCATTAGCTAGAGCTAGCCAAAAGTTGGCTAACGTTAGCTAGCCAGCTCACTAACTTTAGCTATTATTTTTGCCTCAATCCCACTAGACCTGAATCAAACAATGAAACCAGCGGCCAAACGATTGAAGATCGATATATTCAGACATTTCTTCAGCGTAATGTGAGTTTTTATTAGTCAGTATAGCAATGTAACGTTATTGATCTGTCAGATTCCTTAGCTAATTCCTTGTCCTTCAATGTCATGGTGCACAGTCACAACACTATGCTCATTATGTCTTAGCAGGATCAGATGGTGACAGGTGGCCCAGCATGGTCAGACAGCCAGGGAAGACCAGTCTACGGAGCTCAGGTGAATTTTGCAATATATTATAACAATCAGTAAATGGATACAAAGTTCCATCTTCAGTTGATGGGTGGGCTACAGTCTGGGATCTGGGAATTATGGTCATATCAATTATTGAACCATTGATTCTATTCTTGGATAATATAATGTATAAATGTACACCAAGGTAATTCTTTGTCATGCCTCATCTGAGCAGGATCAGATGGTGACAGGGGTCTCATCAGGGTCAGGCAGCCAGGGAAGTCCAGTCTGTGATGGCGCAGAGGTGAACTTTTGCAGATGCAACATTTTATTCTCTCTGTGCAGCAAACACTGGACAAGCAAGAAGCTTCAAAGATTGAAACTATTTTAAGGCAGCCTGACAAACCTCTGAAGTTGATTTCCAAACTGTATCAAGGGTTGATAGTGGCTTTCCCCGATGACACAAAACATGTAAAACAAAAATGTGAGGAAGACCTTGGAGACGCTATTGATGATGATGAATGGATACAGATATGTTAGAATGCCCAGTCATGTTCATATAATCTCAGACATAAATTACTGCAGTTTAAGACCATCTATAGAACACATCATATGCCAGTTAAACTGAATATCATGTACTCAGAAATGTCATTCTTCTGCCGGAGGTGTAAAACACAATACGGGACATATTTGCATATGTTATGGTCTTGTGAAGGCTGGCTGAATTCTGGCAAAGAGCATGGTCTTTTATCTCAGCATGTCTACAGATTCTCCCTGTTTTTGTTTGCTTGGAAATGTTGATACTGGAGACTGTTATCAGAAGAAACTGTATAACCTAGCACTTATAGCGGCTAAGATATGCATTGCCATTAATTGGAAAGTTGATTATCCTCCCATAATGTCACAATGGATAGCAGAAATGTCAAGTTATGTATCACTAGATTTGATTTATTACCAGATTAAGGGTATACTGTGCAATTTTCATAAGGTCTGGATTCCTTATATGGAAAACTGTAAGACAAAAGGAGTCTGTATTGAAAATATGCCCACGTCAGGAGAGATACCTATTTAGGCAATCCCTAGCTGCTGGGCTGCTCAATCCTGGCCCTGGGGGTCTGACATACTGTTGGTTGTCACTCTGGCCTTGGCCTAACACACCTGAAACCAATAATGAATGATTCACTAAGATCCTAAAGCTGAGTAGGGTGTTGGGTTGGGGCGCTGCAGGGCCGTGGACCTCTAGGGGCAGGACGGGGTGACCCAGCTACAGTGGGGGAAAAAAGTATTTAGTCAGCCACCAATTGTGCAAGTTCTCCCACTTAAAAAGATGAGAGAGGCCTGTAATTTTCATCATAGGTACACGTCAACTATGACAGACAAAATGAGAGAGAAAAATTCCAGAAAACCACATTGTAGGATTTTTAATGAATTTATTTGCAAATGATGGTGGAAAATAAGTATTTGGTCAATAACAAAAGTTTCTCAATACTTTGTTATATACCCTTTGTTGGCAATGACACAGGTCAAACGTTTTCTGTAAGTCTTCACAAGGTTTTCACACACTGTTGCTGGTATTTTGGCCCATTCCTCCATGCAGATCTCCTCTAGAGCAGTGATGTTTTGGGGCTGTCGCTGGGCAACACGGACTTTCAACTCCCTCCAAAGATTTTCTATGGGGTTGAGATCTGGAGACTGGCTAGGCCACTCCAGGACCTTGAAATGCTTCTTACGAAGCCACTACTTCGTTGCCCGGGCGGTGTGTTTGGGATCATTGTCATGCTGAAAGACCCAGCCACGTTTCATCTTCAATGCCCTTGCTGATGGAAGGAGGTTTTCACTCAAAATCTCAAGATACATGGCCCCATTCGTTCTTTCCTTTACACGGATCAGTCGTCCTGGTCCCTTTGCAGAAAAACAGCCCCAAAGCATGATGTTTCCACCCCCTTGCTTCACAGTAGGTATGGTGTTCTCTGGATGCAACTCAGCATTCTTTGTCCTCCAAACACGACGAGTTGAGTTTTTACCAAAAAGTTATATTTTGGTTTC